TCTGTTATAAGTGAGGTAAGAACACATAATATGATTTAACTCCATTATATATTTTTGTTGTCAGGTTTTGATTTGTTGCCTTGGTGCCAATCCTAACAGTGTCAATCCCAGTAATCGATGGACACCATTACACTATGCTGCCAGAAATAACAAGTTAGATGTTGTCAAGTAAGTGGTCCTTGAACATGTTAATTTTGTTTTGTATAAAACAGCTATATATCTCAAGGAGCAATTGAGTGTTTTGGATGAGCACAAAACAGTTGACCAAGAAGATATCAATTAATGCACCATTTTACCAACTTTACCAATTGCATATATTAAGTGTAAGACCAGTCATAGATTTGTCACCTCTGAACTCAGTCATTCTAAAGTTATACAAGATAGTTACTGTATGAGCTATCTGTCACAATCTTTGGTGCCCCTGGATCTCAAGGACTCGTACCTATATATACACCAATGAACCCAGCAAGCCAACCACTGTTGAGCTCTGTGGTAGAAGAAATGACATACCAGTTTTGAGTACTTATAATGATAATAATAATGATAACATTTTCTTGAGCGATGCATCACACACCATTATACATGAATACAATTTTTTAACAATTTTTAACTATGCTGTCAACTTTGTCGAGTGGAGCTTATCATATGAGTGATTGTCCATCGGCGTCCGTCGTCCGTGTTAATGTTTTACTTTTTCGACTTCTTCTTGAAAACTACAAGCCTGAATGCTTTGATACTTGATGTATATGTACCTTGGGGAGACCTCTCTTAGGTTTGTTCATTTCATGTTGATATCTTCAATTCTCTAATTTTGGTGAATATTTTTGTCATTTTTGGTAAAAAGTGATATTTTCGACTTCTTGTTAAAAACCAAAAATTCAATTGCTTTGATACTGCATGTAGACCTTTCACAGATTTGTTCATTTCGTGATGATATCTTCAATTCTCTAATTTTGGTGAATATTTTTGTCATTTTTGGTAGAAAGTGATATTTTCGACTTCTTGTTAAAAATTGTAAGTCCGATTGCTTTGATACTATACATACTGTTCATTTTCTAATGATGTCTTCAGTTCTTTAATTGAAATGTGCATTCCTAACAGCGGAGCTATCTCAGCCGATAGGCTGCTTGTTTTATATAAAAATAAAAGTTTTAAAATACTTTGAAAATAACTTTAAATTACCATTAAAATCCGAACTGTCATCTAAACAGATGAGTTTTCAGACCTCTCTTAAAAAATATTGATTGACTGACGAATGGAGAGTGGGAAATCATTTCACAAAAGGGGGGCATATTTGCTAAATGAACACCAACCATATGTTTTTTAGTACATTGAATCTTGTCTTTTCAATATCAAAATATCAGTGTTAGATGACCTGAGGCCAAATCTGATTAATATGGTGCCCCAAATGGCCATCAGTTACAAAATGGACTTCAAGATTACGGACTGAGCTAGAAAGATTTATGTCAGATTCTCAATGAGTTCAACATTTCAATGTACTTTTTAAAGTAACATGAAAAATGAATAACTTGCCAGGGTTGAGAATCAACATGTTCGATTTCAGCCAGGCCAGAATATTTTCAATACATATCTGGATGAGATTATTTGAATCAGATTGTTTATTACAAGTTACATATAGCATACAATCAATATCATAATGGTTAAATATGTCCTCAAGGCCATATGAAGTGTAAACAGAATCGGACCAAAGACGGAGCCTTGAAGATCACAGAATAACAAATTAGATGGTGACGATGATAATAAGGAGTCAAATGAGATATTGAATGAACGATCTGTAAGATAGTAAATGAATCATTGTAGAACTGTGCCTGTAATACCAAAATGATGTTGAAGATGATGAATTAGAATAGAGTGATCAAAGGTATCAAATGCGGAGGAAAGAACGAGCCTGACAAACATAACGTCTTTTTCAATGTTAAGTGCTTTCATTATATCATTATGAATCTTCAATATCGCAGTTTCTGTACTGTGTTCTCCAAACAGCACATGCTCGAATTCCATGTAAATGAACAATGTATTTTACATATGTCGTGTACGTCGCTATGACTCCCATTTCGAACAGGACCTGGCGCGACGAGCATCTCCCTTTAAGCAGCTGAGCAGAAGCATGAATCTAGAATCACTAAAAGTCATCACAAGAGGGCGCTGTATTCAATTTCAAGTCTCAACATGGGCATCATAAGTTATTCATACCTTTGTTTCATTGAAGTGTTTTAATCAAGAGGGGTGCTGATGTGAATCTAGAAAGCATTGATCTTATCAGAGCAGATGATTATGCAAAAAATATGGACATGAAGATTGTGTTGATGCCATAGTAACTAAACGAATACAGAGATGTGAACTCCTTAGCAACAGGGCTGAAAATGTAAGTTGTCAAAATCATTGATATTTTCCTTATAGTTTTATAACATATAATGAATACATAATTATATTTGCTCTAATAGGAATGCACACAAACCTCAAAATTGGGATCTTGGGATGTACATATCATGCATATATCTTGTGCATATTATGCATATACACTGTATCATGTGCATATCATGCATATATCATGTGCATATCATGCATATATCATGTGCATATCATGCATATATCATGTGCATATCATGCAGGAATCATAATGATAGACAATTCAATTGACTAAGGTCGGATATAAGTAGATATCCCATGAATTGACTAAGATCTAACTCTAAGACTAAGAGTAGCATATTACCTCAAAATATTCTGATAGAACTTGATACAAAATTATCCAGATGAAATTATATTATGATAACTACTTGTAAAATAATTATTATAAATAAAAGTTGTGTTTGAAAATTGCATGTAGGATTTGCATGTAGGAAAGTGATTCCTTTTGTATTCAATTATCAGTAAACACCCAGAAACTCCTCCTAATATCTCCTACATGTAGTTCTCATTGCATGGCTCTAATAACAGATATTTTCAATTGATGTGATGAGAGTTGTATGCCCTTATCTCATTCATCCTTGAAAAATAAATTTGACAAAAGTTTCTGTTTGTTAGGAATCACACTCCTCCTCTCTGTTTCAAGTAGAAGACGATGAAGGACTTGACCATTTGGTGAGAAAATAATTTCTCATTTTAATGAATAAAATCAAATTTGAATAATGTACATTTGGTGTGAGAATAAACATAATAAATATGATTATTACACTTATTACATCATCCTTTATCATACATCAGTTCTGTGCATCTTCAGATTGCCAATATAATTTTTAAAACATCTTGAATATGTAGCACTCTTTTTATCTTGATAGAAGGAAGGCTACAATGTATATGAGGAGAAAATGTCTGTTATCATTGTTATCATTGTAGAGTCAATTTTGTTACTCTTGCCTAAAATAATTATTTTTTAAGTACCGTATTTACCGTATTTAGGTATTTACTGATAATTTCTTTTTCAATCTTGGACCAGCTGGACATTATTTCCTAATACTATAAACGGTACTGTACATTAGGCAAAGATATGCATCTTGTCAATTTGTTTTCTGAAATAGATGTGTGTGAACAGCTTTTGACTTTCAATCTAAAATTATTAAATTATCATTAAATTTGTAATTTTTCATGAAAATTTCATATTTTCGTAAATTCTACAAAAATCCTTAAAATAATCTTGTGACATGGATGTTCCTATATAACATGTGTCTTTACTGATGCATTGTAATTATAGTATGAAGTCAAGATAAAGTGAAGATGTTTATTGTTGTCTTTGCCACTGTTGTTGTCATGGTTAACATTAAATGCAAACATTTTTGTATTTTAGGCACAGTTAAAGGAGCATGATCTGAGGGAATCTGATTTATTTCTTGTTGACAACAAAGGAAGAACTTTATTAATGGTGGCTGCAGAGTATAACAGGTAACTATAGCAACAACATTATATTGGTAGCTGCAGAGTATAACAGGTAACTATAGCAAAAACATTATATTGGTAGCTGCAGAGTATAACAGGTAACTATAGCAACAACATTATATTGGTAGCTGCAGAGTATAACAGGTAACTATAGCAACAACATTATATTGGTAGCTGCAGAGTATAACAGGTAACTATAGCAACAACATTATATTGGTAGCTGCAGAGTATAACAGGTAACTTTAGCAACAACATTATTATTGGTAGCTGCAGAGTATAAGAGGCAGTTATAGCAACAAATGTTATTAGCAGTGGAGTATACATGTACAAGTAACTATAGCAACATACATTGTAGTAGTGGAGTATACAGGTAACTTTAGCAACAGTAGTTATTATTGGTGATGGAGATTATAACAGGTATTATAAAATATAGCAACAAATGTTACAATGAAGGCAGCGAAGTATAGCAATTGTGAATCAATCAATCATAATAAGTTCTGTTCAAAGGCGTTGAGAGAGTTATTCCATGCTGTAGGCTTGAATAAATATGTTTTGAGTTGACTGACATGTCAGTTGGAAGGGTGTTCCAAAGTTGAGGAGAATCATGGGAAAACATTACTAGTATGTGTTATATTATGTTAATCAGCAAATATCTGGCACTGATGTGTTCCCATTATTGCTTCACTTTGTGTGTATCAGGATCATAATATATAAACACTTGAACGAATACTGATGTTATTTATATGTACATAGTATGTCTGTACATAAATGTGGTATATCTGTACATGTATGTGGTATATCTGTACATTAATGTGGTATATCTGTACATGAATGTGGTATATCTGTACACGTATGGTTAAATGTATATCTGTACATGAATGTGGTATATCTGTACATTAATGTGGTATATCTGTACATATATGTGGTATGTTTGTATATTTTTGTCCCAGTTACTGCACTTTTGAGACTTGTTTGGTGAAATGATCCTGTGGATGAAGACAATTTCTTTAACCCTCGGAATGACAACTTTTTGTAACCTCTCACAAAATAAATCTTATACCTTTTCTTGGGTGGTACTTGTATAGGTTTGACTTTTTCGCAAACATTTTCTATCTCTTATAATCTGGTAATGCTATATTTTCATTTATGTATCTCTACTTGTTATTTGACAATCCAGGGTAGATAATCTTCGGTTACTACAACAATTTGAAGGATGTCCTATCAACGCACAACATCCATGGGTGAGTCTCTCATTAATATTTAGTTATTTATGAAAAACAAAAATATTTAAAATGAGGTTGAAGTAATTGCAAAGACGCATAGTTATTAGATTAGGGTCAGTCAATGCTATGATTCAGTACTGCCAGAATGCATAGTATGCAATATTGGAAATATACCCTATTTATTCTGTAGCCCATACACTTACCTAAATCACACAAGGTAATGTAATTTTTGGTTTATATGTAATTTTATTAAAGAAGATGTACTTCAAATTCCATTCTATACTGTTTACATCCAATGTAAATAATTGTAATAATGACATCATAACACTTATGGACACATCACTTTATATATGGTTAAATTCAGGTGTATAATATAGAATTACCATAGAGACATCAGTTTATGTATGGTTAAATTCAGGTGTATAATATAGAATTACCATAGAGATATCAGTTTATGTATGGTTAAATTCAGGTGTATAATATAGATTTACTATAGAGACATCAGTTTATGTATGGTTAAATTCAGGTGTATAATATAGAATTACCATAGAGACATCAGTTTATGTATGGTTAAATTCAGGTGTATAATATAGAATTACCATAGAGTGA